TTAATTCAGACATAAAAGGACAAACACACCTTGGATTCGCTATATTGCATATTTATTAATCGATTTGAACAAGGTTCATCATCGTATGTGTATATATATAAATGCATGAGGAACAAATCTTGTATACAACAACAGATAGAGTTCGAGAATTCATGTACACGTCGAAACAAATTTAGACCTGGGTTTCATCGGTGCATAAAGTCTTCTCTTTTAATTCTAATATCCCAAATGGGTATCGAGAGTTGGACTCCCCAACTAAATTACTAGCATTATGAACCTCATGCCCATGCACGTACCTATACGGTCCGTGATAGATTTGCATGCAAGAAAGATCGACATAAGGAATTTACCAGCCTTTTATTTTAGGTTGTGTAGCATTTACCTGGTAAATAATAATTAAATAGTGTACTATAAATGATTGGTAAATAAACAATAAGGTGCGTACCATATTTACTATTTCCTGTTCAATTTCCCTACCACATTTTCATAATAACATGACTCTTTCACTTGTATAGGGGTGAAGAGAAATCTGATATGATAAAATAGCAGAGCAATAAAAGAACAACATTTTTATAAACCTATTGACTAGGTTCCTGGGTAATTGGATTTTTTACTGTGCCAACTTTATCCTCTTAACTTTTTACTATTTTGTCAACCCAATATGATGTCGATATTATCATTCTGGATAAAAGTGGGAAGTCGTTCGTTGATCTCTCACCAAACTCCCCCCTCCCCCACGAATCTTCTTCAAAATCTCCATCTTAACCAAAAAATGTAAATAAAAAGTCAGATTTACAAATATAAGATAGAAATCCCACATTTATATCTTACATATTTTACATATCTAAAATATGAAATATGAGTTATATTTCAATGAAAGAGATGTAAATTTGAGATTACTTTTTTTTTTTTTTTTAGAAGAATTTGAGATTACTTTTTCCTCCTTGACTAGCAGAGCTCACCTCCTAAAAAAAGTGGGGAAATATATATTTTTATATAAATCTTTCGGGGAAGATGGATAATTTAGATTCTATATATCATTTCAAGGCATTTTGCATCTCCAATTAAAGATGGTCTTAGAAATGCTCTGATAACAACTAACCATTATCTGCTGACTCTTAATCTACCTTATAATATTTCTCTTTCCAATGTTAATTTTTTTCTTATTATGAATCCTTATAAAGATAGAAGATCATTTAACATATAATGTGATACCTTTTTTTTATTATTCAACTGGGATTTTGAAGGATTTTAATTCTTTTAATGAATTTAGTTGTATTTAATCAGGATTTGAAGTGATTTTTTGAAATTCAATGTGTATTCAATCATGATTTTAAGATAGTTTATTAAAATCCTTAGAAATTCGGGTGTCTTCAATTAAGATTTTAAAGAAGTTTATAATATTCCAAATGTATTAAATTAGAATTTGATTTTAAAGAGTTTAAAAAAGTTGAGGAATTAGAGGGAATTGGAGAGATTGCTATTGTATTTTAAATATCGACAAATCTCACCTCTCTTTATAAGATTTCGAAGGAATTGAATCAAAATTTCATATGGAATATCTACAAATCAATTAAACTTCACAAAAATCTATAAATTTATAAATTCATTTAAATCTCTTAAATTCTTAATTGAATACACCTCCTAAGCCGATCGACATATCAACTTTTGTGAGATCCTATGTGCATGTGAGCAACGTTATCACATTCTTTCCGACCATATAATGCATAACCAGAATTTGTCTCTGTAATTTCTGACGATATTTTATTAAATAAATACCATGAGAAAATTTGAATAAACGACAAGTATCCTACCTAGTTCTCTTATGGAGGAATTTCATATATTATAAAATGTTTTCATGCTTTACAGCTATATATTATACTGAATTATAAGTATATTGTCGCTGACTCATGATCATCATGTACTCTTAGGAATAGGCTGAAGAGTAAGACGCTCAAATCACATCTGCGGACAAGGAATGTTTTAATGGCCGAAAGATACTGTTTAGCGTTTATACTCCGGTGGCATTAGATTATTTTTAAAGGAGATGTCAAATTATAAGATAGTTGATTTGGCAATCTGAAGTCTTATGTTAAATTTTGTACTTCTCCAACCGAACTGTCAAATATTATTTTATTATTTAAAAAGAGTTTTAAATGATTGTAGTTATTAAAAAATGTTAAAACAAAATTTCAATGGGTTGAAATGTTAGTGGAATAAAAAACCACTATTAAAATGAATTAAAAATAATTTGACATTGATGTCAAATTTGACTCCAAATCACAAAGTCTTCAAATTCAGTCAACAAATAATACTTCGGTTGGATAGAATTTTGATGCCAAATATGCACAATGACATTCTACCTAAGATTTTAACATCTCATTTGAAGATACTCTTAATGTGTCTTTGCCATAAAGTGGACTGCTTCTCCATGAAGCTTGGTTCGGGCAAAACTATGCAGAGAAGTGTTGACAGAATCTATTGATAATCCGATTCAAAAAATTTAGAACCATACAATGTTGCATGCGTTGACAATTTAATAATATTTTGTCATAATCCGATTAAGTCCAGCCAGAGTCCAGCCAATTTGGAGCACAATTGGGTTTTAAAACAGATGGGAAATAGTTTTATTACTCCCTTGAACTCAAGCAAGGAGAAATTTTTAGTGTGTCGAGAGCGTAGCTCGAGTACACCAAATGACATAATATAATTTGTTGATTTTTTTTTTAAGTTTCCAATCAATTATGTTTTTACATTTGGTGTACCGGGCCATATTTTATGCACACTTAAAAACCTCTCCCAAGCAATAAACAAAGAATCTTAATAAGCTATGGTGTACCAGACCATAACGAAAATGATCAGTGCACCAAATGCCATAATATAAGTAGTTTAAAGTTTTTTTTCTTTTTTAAGTGTTCAATAACTATTTGTATTATAACATTTGATATACATAATTGTGTTCCTGATACCGTGAAAAATCTCTCTCTTCGTTCTTACAAGTTACCCACATGAGCTACTGATTCCTACCGTTTTATCAGCCGCGTTATCCCCCAATAAATATTCCATGCATAATCCGACATGCAAATTACCTGTCATAACATTGTCTTTAACTAAGGTAAATTACATGGAAACCTACACTTTACTGAAACCTTACTCAACCAAAACTAATTCTGATTAGTTTTTAATTGATGTTAATTAGCTACGGGCCTGAGGACCAATATTATCCGAAAAGGTTGGTCGAAGAATGTAATATTCCAGCATGAAAATCCAAACAGGTATAGCTGTCTCGAAGTCTTTTGCTTTGGAGTTCAAACATTTAATTACGTAACACCTTCTTTTGGTTTAACTATCTCACGTAATGTGCATGGTTGGATGAAGATGTCAAACATAAAATACAAGCTGGATGATTGAAATGAAAGAGTACATCAGGTGTGTTGTGTGATCATCATACGCCGCTAAAGCTAAAGAGAAAATTTTATAGTACACCAATAAGGCCAACAATGCTTTATTGCACAGAATGTAGTACCACGTTCAAAAAAAGCGTGTAGCGGATATGAGAATGCTTCGCCGGATATGTGGGCACATGAGAAAGGACATGATTAAGAACGAGGATGTTCAAGGTAATGCAGGAGTGGCCACAATTGAAGATAGGATGAGAGAAAATTGGTTAAGGAGGTTTGGACATGTGAACCGAAGGCTTACAAATGGTCCGGTTAGAAAATGCGATTATAAGATAGAAACTCAAGGCAAAAAGGGTAGATGAAGACTTATGAAGTACTTGGAGTTAATATGAGACTTGGTGCAAAACCAAACGCAATGGCTTTCTAGAATTCCTACAGCCGATGCACTTGGTGGATAAGGATTTTTTGTTGTAACTTTCTCACGTAATGTCCGCATCTGCATGAAAAATGCACATAAATAATGCCTCTCACACCATTTCCTATTCCATCTACAACTGTTTTGGGTTGATATTATCGTTGCTTCTTATTGTATTCCCTCGTTGTCCAAGGAAAAACTGCGCTTTCGATGGAGAAAGAACCCGCATTCACGACTTCTTCAACTCTGCAATTGCCTCCTGGTTTCAGATTTCATCCGTCAGACGAAGAACTCATTGTTCATTACTTACGAAACAAAATGATTTCGTATCCTCTTCCAGCGCAGGTTGATCACGGAGATCGATCTGTATAAGTATAATCCGTGGGATCTACCCAGTCAGTACTGAAGCATTCACTCATTTCATTCCTCTGTGGTTAATCCTTCGATTTGGATTACACAGTAATAGCCAAGTGTATATGTTTTTTAATTGTTTGTTTCATTACTTGGCCCTTTTTTGCAGACAAGGCTTTGTTTGGAGAAGATGAGTGGTACTTTTTCAGCCCGAGGGACCGGAAGTATCCGAATGGGGATAGGCCCAATAGAGCAGCAGCTTTGGGTTATTGGAAGGCTGCTGGAGGTGACAAGCCAATTCTCACTTCTTGTGGATCGAGCTGATAGGAGTGAAGAAGGCTTTAGTCTTTTACACAGGTCGAGCTCCAAAGGGAGTTAAGACAGAGTGGCTCATGAACGAGTATAGACTGCTTAACAGTACGATTAACCCCTCAAGGTCAAAAGGTTCTATGAGAGTAAGTGGATAGAATGAGATACTGCGAGTGCATATTATATATATGTATCTCAAAACGATGGAACAAACCAGTTAAAAGGCATACGCTTACTAATCAACCAGTACATAAACTGTACTTTGTTTCACACGCAATAAATGCTAGCATCAGTCCCTCACATGTACGCATGCTGATAACCATTGATGAGAGTAATCCCCACACCCATCAACTGTTTAGAGTCACCATGCTCTAACAACTTCTCGTGCAAACCTAGCTATTCCCTTAGAGTTCAACATACTTGATCTTGCCTTGTACTATAACAACTGTGCTTTTAAAGGTGAAACACAGATAGTAGAGGTACTAAACTTTTAACATCATCAAGAACCTTGCTTCAGTCCATGCTTCGATTTAACTATTTAAGCCGTCTTCATTTTTTTTTTTTTTTTTTTTTTTTTAACTACGACTCAGTCAGTTATCCAGTTCATACATCGACTTTGATCAAAACAATGTGACCAAAGGCAATAATATAAAAATGCTTCTTGTTGTAACAGTTGGATGATTGGGTACTATGTCGAGTTCAACAGCGAGGAAACACAACAAAGAACACATGCAACCCTCAAGACATCTACAACACTGAATCTTGGAGGTGCCTACCAAAAGCTGGGCCGACACAGCCTACAGATCCAATCCATCGTGCTGATTTAATCACAGATTTTCTATACAAAGACTGTCGACTATTAGCTTTCATGCTCGCCGGTCAAGCTCCATCACCGATAGAGACCAATTCAAGTGCGAGCTTTCAAGGGAGAAAAGATAGCTGTGAAGTCGGTTCAAATAATAAGGTAAAATCCACAATATCAGTTTCTTCTTCGGGCATTAGTTCCACCCTAAAAAGGAAAATTAGAGAAGAAAATACGAAAGAAAATCTCTTTCCACTGATAACTCTAGAAAGCAAGAACAAAGATGGGAATGTTCTGCCTGGCAAGAGACTAGCAGCTGACAATGTTGTCAACTGCTACATACCAAACCACTTGCAAAATGACATACCTAAAGCAAATCCAACGGTTCCCGCCAACTTTGAGGAGTTTAATGAAATGTCCTTCCTAGCTACATACTTCAAGTAATGAAGTCTTTGATGAAAGCTATGTGCCTTAACGAAAGAACACATTCGGGAGGCAATAGTTTCAGGCTGTACAGCATGAAGTGTAAGCAAGGTGTAAAAAGCATGGTATCGATTTGGCCTCTAGACTGGATGGTAAATATCAGTTCAATAATCTACATTTGTTGCTAGTTAACTCTGTTTATGTCGAGAATGCTCTCCTGGTCGGCGATATTACCTGCCCTCGTAAAAATATCTATAGTCGCATTCCTATGTACGAAAGTTTATGCTTGATCAAGGATGGGGATAAAAGAACGAAATTAAACACTTCTCAGATGTAATAATATGAATGGATATGTAAACTAGAATTGTCGAATACTTCAATAATATCAGTAATTATTATATAAGTTCAGTTTGTTTGCCTTTCATTGGTTTATAAATTCTTTTACTACTAACAATATGGATTTGGATCAAGATAACTTTCTAACTACGCATTGTAAAACTATATAAAGTCAAATTGATGCTCAGTAAGTTCATTGAATGACAAGTACATACATAAATAAACTCTAAACTACAAATTTTCCACATGTTGGCAGAAAGGCCACCATGATGAGCAAGAAACTATATATAATCATCTTCAAGTAGCTAGATTAGATAATTAACGTTGTACGTAAACGGAAACTGTTAAAGTGATACAAGCAAAGCCTTGAGAAATGGAAGAATATAATACCACACCAGATATGGTCCGATAAGCTGCTGAAGTCCTTTTAAAGTAACTTTATCGCAGTATACTGCAAACAAAACAGTAGAATATCTCATTTACTCGAGGAAAGTAAAGTCTCCAATAAGAAAATTTGAACTAGTATCATATTTAAAGCATTCGGAACACGCAAAACCAGTACTTAGACAACCCCATGAAATAAATGTGGCCTAAAATGTTTTATGAGTTAGTTTGCAGAACACGAAACCAATTTGACAGAATGTTTAACTCTACGTCAGCAAGTGTTTATGCTTCTTAGCATTTGGGGTACTACGTACGAGTTTAGGTTTTCTCAGTAAAAAGACAGGGATAATACTTACTTGTATAGATAGAAGGCAATTCCCAGAACAATACAAAGCAAAATAATGTCGATGCAGAAATTTCGGCTCGACCTCACCTGCAAAACAAACCAAGTTTCTCATTATTAGAACTATGCCTGTATGATGCAACAATTAAAACTGATCATTACGGTCAGCGTACAATTACCTTGATTAGATTTTCCTTAAGCCTAACATTATTACTTTTTATGTCAGATGTAACCTTGTCCACCTGTTGTAAAAGCATCAAAACTCCGTCACCAAGTAATGAACTAATAAGATCTTTGCAACATTATTCTCCCAGGTATCATTGGAAAAATTAGAATTCTAGTTAGAGAAGAAAATCTCACCTTTGTATCTATCTCATCAATTAGCGGGACTTGTCGATCCATTTCCTGAACATATTGAAACATCGATCAATGTCTGAATTCGTCTAATAAGAAAACGAAACAGAGTTATGTGCATCAACCAACCTCATGCATATCATGGGCCAAATCTTTCAAAGTACCCAATCCTTCAGAGATGATATCTAGACCTTCATCCTGCACAAGTGAGCAACTCATCAATCAAAATAACAGCAGCGATGTACCGCAAGACAGTCACAAGCAACTGTCTGACAAAATAACTTTCTTTAACCTCACAGAACATATGTAAAAGAAACTAAATAATCAGGAACGTTATATGCCTGTTTCATTTTCCGCATTTCATACTCCTTCCTGAACTGACTCGATTCTTCAGTTTGCTGGAAAAATTCACTTTCAAAGTTCCCATCTGAATTGTAAGGAAACACATTAGTATTCATAATCTATCAAAAGGCCACATTCATTGAAAACTATAACACCAGAAAAATAAAAAAGGAATAAAAATCATTGATTACCTGATGAATCAAATTTGATATTTTTATGGGATGCTGAAGTTCCCCATCCCCCTGCTTTTTTGGCTGCAGCTTCTGTCCCATCTGGAATCTCCTGAATCCTCTCAGGCAGTGTAAAAACCAGGTCACTACGTGTTTCTAGTTCTTCAGGGGATAGCCCTTTAACCTGTTATTAGACCGAAATACGAATATGTCTTTACAGATAATTGTGGTGTTGAAAATCAATACTAAGAAGTATGATCCAAATTCCCTTATGTTTATGTGGGTGTGCGTGTCTATTGGTCTAAGAAGTTCACGCAGTCACACTATGGCTTCCAAGTGATATACAAAGGCTATATGTTCGGCACACTCTTAAGGTATAGTAAGAACCATGCCTACGTCAATTCATGCTCTGGCGTTGTGGGAAGGATATTCTCACGTAGTGCAACTCATAATGTACAATCCTATGTAACTCATTATGTAGCTTTTGGATTTGGTCATGTTGGTTACATTTGCGCTTTCTATTGTCAAACCGAATCCACAACAGCTACCAAAAAGTGCAGCGGAAACATCATAAGCGGGGTAAATGTTAGGAGGTAGTGCCAATGCAGGGTGAAACATGAACATTAGATACAAAACGAAATGGTAATAGAGACAAGAAGAAATTAGCAAAAAGAAGGGGATAGGCCCCTTTCAAAACATTGTATTTGCTCCGAGAATGCGGAGATTGTAAAGCACGACAGAAAAAATGAACTCCTAAGAAACTCAGAGAAGCAAACCCATTTCAAGAAAAAGAAGCAAGTTCATGACAAGTCATCAGAGTAAAGAAGCTGATGAGTTAGATTCTATGCAACCCCTTAAGAATTCATCAAAACGGGGTTAACTGTGGAGTCCCAACTCTTATGCCAATGGTCTCAGAACAGAAGTTGTATATAAAGGGGAAAGGCAAGATCTCATGGAATTTATCTACCGAGGTTACAGTTGTCTTGTTTTGCCTTGTCGCTAGGCAACCGTATTTGCTTCTACTGTGTCTTCCTAGTCTAGTTCCCTGTAGGTTCTGCAATGTCGTTGACAACACTCTTGTTTTGTTCCTTTACTCCAAGAACCACACTCTTGTTTTGTTCATCTTGTGCATTGTTGATAGGCACACGTACAGTAACAGTCAGGCTCAATCCACACCATTTTTCCAAAACCAAGAAACTACCGACTTTGTCGACCATAAGAAACTATTGACCAGCCATCAGATAAGAACGTAACATCAATTTGGAGGTATTCTTTCTTTCTCACACTTTATCCGAACACAAAATCTCAATCTTACCAATCATCATTGGCTGCATAGAAAATTTTCATATCATTTAAACCCATCAAATCTCTTAATTTTCACACATCTTTCAAAATTTATGATTCGTCCACGGTAGGGTCTATTGAAGAAAATATCACATATTTTTTGTAAGTATTCATTTTTAGTCTTATCAACACACAATTTAGTTTTTTTTTTTTTTTTAGTACATTCATAACAAAGACTTCCCTATCTAGAACAACATCACAAACTTTGTTGTTTTCACACCGGGAGGCTCTTAACAATATTTAGGTTATGAAAGAATATGAAAAAAAAAAAAAAAAACTTTGAATCCCATTTGAGGAGGGGAAATTGATAAATATTTTTATGATTTAGAAATCTATATAATTTTATTATATATTATAAATAGAAAATAGAAATCTATAAACTATAGATTATATATTTCTATATATATATATATATAATTTAGAAAAGTATATTATGTCGTTTCATACATTATCGTACAATAAGAAGCTAATACCATATAATCCTCTATTTTATAAAAATAAATAAAATCCATATCTAATTACACATATTCCCTAAATTCGTCTTAATTAATAAGTAAGCTTGAAACTTAAAAATAAAATAAAATAGATGAATTGGATTCTCTTCACCTTTTTCAGAGCCAACTTGCGCAGCTTAGGAAGTTCCTCCATCAACCGAGCCTTGGTCCGACGAATCTCCACATACGTCGCAACCGCCACAGCCCGATTACTCTCCATCGTAGCCTTCTCGGCTTTCTGCACATTCAGATACAATCAAACAAACACCAAAACTCGTACATTTTCTCACCAACCAAACTCAATTAACAATATCGAAGGAGGAAGCGGGAACTGCGAACCAGATGAGTGGCTTGGATTTCGTCGTCGACGCGGGCGTAGTGACGGGCGAAGGCATCTTCTCCGGCGGGATTGAGGTCGCGGTGCTTCTCGACGTCGTACTTGTCGTATTTCTTGCATATTGAGTCGACTCGGGAGAGAATGTCGATCACGCTCATTTTCTTCGTTTTCTCTCGGAATCAAAAGAGAAGGTTGCTGATGCTGCGTTAGAGAGAGAAAGAGATAGGGGAGAGAGAGAGAGAGTCACGTCTCGTTCAGGCATTGCGCCTCTCTCTCTCTCTCTCTCTCTAACTCTCTCTTTCTGTCTGCGTCTGAATTTTCGGACGGTTTTTTCCATTTTTGGAAAACCAGGAAGGAAGGGCACGACAGCATGGACTAATTGGCCGTCTTTTTGGCGGGTACGCATCCAATTGGCTATTTCGGGTCCCCACCCTTTTTCCTTTTTCTATTACTTACTTCATTCCCTCGTGTCGGCCCATGACCAGAGACAATATTTGGGCCAAAAACAATCAAATCATAATGGGCCTAACTCTCATGAAACCATTATCAAGTAACCATCATTGGAGAACGGTGAAACCATGAATATGACTGGGAAGTTGTACGGGATTCTATCCTATATACACATTTATATTTTGAAAGAATGAATAGGTTTATTTTAGGATTGTGATTTTTACGCTCTCATTTTTTTTTCTGTGGCATTCATTTCTCGGTTCTTTGGTTCTACTTTTATGACATGTTTACTTACTAAGATTAAGAAACCAAAGTATGGATATTATACTTATTTATGACAAATCTTTTGTTTTTAACACATAGGATGAATTTAAAAAATAAAAAAAAGAATATGGGCTGAAAATTTTAGGTATTGCGTAAGTGGCCTGTAACGCAGTTAGTTAAGACTGGAAGTCCTGTTTTCGAATCCCCTCCCCCTTAATTTAACAAAAATTTAACTATTGTTGTAAACATTGGTGACTGGCCACTAAATAATGTGATGGATGACTGTACCAATCACTTCAAAGCAAAGAGGACAAGTGGGAATCTTATCAGTGGGAGTGAGCTGTCCAACAACTTTCAGTGCCCTTACTTCCTATATAAATACAAGACATCCTATGCATGAAGTGAGAACATCACAGAAATATAGAAGCCACAAGGCTCACGGAAGAGGAAGAGAGAAAAGAGAGGAAGAGGAGAGGAGATAATAGAGAGAGTTATTTTGTACTCTTATTATTCTAAATTATAATGAAAGCACCACTGCTACTCCGAGGACGTACTCCAGTCACACTAACTATAGAGGAACCTCGTAAATTTTGTGTCTTTTTTTATTTATTCCACTGCACACATCGTCGATTTTACAATAACTATTGTTTTGTTTTTTTTTTTTTTTTTGGGGAAAGGTTACTTTATTGTGTTTGCATAAGAGAAGACCCAAATACTAATACACAGACCCAAAAATGGACCCCCCCCCCCCCCCAACACCAAAGTAACCAAGAGCCCAAATAACATTGTGAGCCCAAAGCATAAAAAACAACAAAGCAAATCATAAGCAACGAAGCAAACCCTAGCAGTATCAAACCACTGCCACCAATGAAAAGCCACTTACCCACCAACAAAAACAAAGGTCGTCCCCAGCACACTCCTGAAAACAAGCTAAACACAGCCCCCGACATAGAATCCCAAAACAAGGCTTCAAACACTGCCATCGAATCCCACAATGGTAGCAACAACAAATTGAAGGAAGCTAGCGGGAAGAAGCAACCCACTAGCAACACTACCATCAAAGACAAACCTAAAGAAGGAGGTGGTGTGAACACCCGAGCGAAAACTCTATGCACCTGAACACATTATACTATTTTTTGTCAAAAAAGAAAAAGGACACTTTAGGCATTGTACCCATTGCGCCATATCACCCATATATACATTATACTATTTTTTGTCAAAAAAGAAAAAGGACACTTTAGGCATTGTACCCATTGCGCCATATCACCCATACCTATATATGTAAGCAATCGTTGCCCATTATTCAAAATGCATGATGATTTTTTTTGTAAACGCCAATAACATCTCTCGTTTTTTTCTTTGGCAAAAAACTTGGGGTTTGGCGGTCAACAATTGTAAAACTTTAATGTCAACGGGTGGATATCTCGTATCCAAAACCTAGCAGTTCGTCATGCGAAACCTAATGGTCTCAAACAACTCGATTTTCTCTCATGAACTATTTTTGTCAATGGATGTTAGTATGATCCAGCACTTGAGATAATGGGTAAAATCGAAAAAATAGATTCACACGTAACCAAATTCTGAAAAGTCGGTACCAATTTTAAACGTAATCCTGCAGCCAGGAAAAGCAACAAACAAATTAGCAATTGAAGAGTAACACAATTGATGAAAGTAACCATCCAAAGTCCTCTCACTGAAAACGCTAGAGGTATAAAACATCTTACACCTCTAGTGTTTCCTCATAATACAACCAAGTGTTATGCCAAGCACTCAAAAACTGATTCCACAAGTCAACCCGATTCTAATAACCGACTGATACAAACTGAAAATATTAAGGCAACTCAGATGCAGTTACAAACACAACTAATTAGCACATCTCGACAAATAAACAATAATGGCCAAGAGGAAATTGTTTTCCTAACCCTGCGAAGCAAAATTAATTTATATGTTTTCCGAACCTTCAACCTACAACATGTCGAAAGCTTCATATACTCTTGATCAAGATTGTGCGAAGCCAAAACAATTTTTGGTGTCTTATGACTAGCTTCAACCACTCAAGCTATGTGCCCAAAGGAAAAAACTTCAACCAAGGAGCTTCGACCAAAAAACTTCAACCAAAGAGCTTCAACCAAGGAGCTTCAACCAAAACCCACAAGGAAAAAAATTTTACAAACAAAAAGCTTCAACCAAAAACTAAAAAATGCCTTCAACACTCTTGCTCAAGAGTGGAAGCAAAATCTATTTATGTGGTTTAAGAAGCTTCAATCACTCAAGTTACATACACAACAAAGGAAAAAGTTTCAACCAAATTTCTTTTCTCACTAAGAAATAAGGAATTGAGCTTAAGAAAAAAAAAATACTTGGGCTACATCCAAAAAACAAAGGAGAGAATTTTTTAAGTTTTTTTCTTCAATGACTCAAGAAAATCAAGCCACCTCCTCCAACTATACTCCTCACTTGGAAGTTTCGTAATTAGTCAAGGACTCGGATTTTGCAACTCCCCAACCAAGAAGCTTTCCTCACTTAGGAATTTAGGAGGGCATGTTTGTACCATATTTCACCAATCCCGAAATTGCCGAGCACCGGTCGACTCAATACCTTCAGGAACTCACTTAAAGGTTCATGCTGAGGCCCCTGCTGAAGCACACGAGTTTCTCTTAAATCAAGAGACCAATCACAACACGACACGTGTCAACGTCAGAATAAAGCTCTTAGACTCCCACATCGACCAAGGAGGGAAGCCGAAGACTCTCCTCAACTATAAAAGGAGACATTTCTTCCTACAATAAGGGACTAATGTCATTATTATACTAAACTTGTCATTAGAACCCACTAATGATGATTATGCTTGAAGCTATGTATTGTGTAAACTCTTCACTATTAATGAGAACTCCTCTACCCTGTGGACGTAGCCAAACTTAAGGTAAACCCCACGGATGACTAATCCCCTTCACTAAATCCTAACAATCAATTGTATTTTTATTCAAATTAAAAATGATACCATGGAGGAATGTAACTTGATACCAAAAGTAATCAGTAGTCTTTACATAGTTTGCACATATCACAAAACCCAAAAAGTCTACAAAACAATGATCTCTAATATTAAACACAAAGCTCACCTCATTCTAAAATCTTTTTTATAGAACGATCAAGGCAAATAATATCACCCTTCGAACACATATACTTGAACTTTAACTTCTCTGCGTCAACAGATATTCTATTTGTTCTGTACTCAACAAGCAACGTCTGTCGCAAGTGGCCCTTTACCACAGTGGTGGAAAGGAGATGAGCCCTTGCATGATGGCATGGGTTCAAACCCCGTTTGATGGCTAATCTAACAAAATCTATCGTTTGACCCAACAAACACGTCTGTCAATATACTAAACTACTGAGACAGGGAGGGGATCGACAGTTATGAAATGCGGAACCCTGTGGATAAACTGAGCCCCAGTCCAAACTTCTGCAATCCTTCTAATGAAAATATTAACAGAAATGGGCATTCATTCTGTAACAATCTTATGAAACCCTCTTAATAAACAACCTGATACCTTCTAATCAAAGTCCCAATCATGGGCAGGAAAGAAGCCTAGTTATTGTTGGTTACAAACAAACCCTTCACATTTGTTGATCATTCATCAATTCTTAAGATTTCACCCCAAATGGATCAAGGGCATGTTTTCTGAGCATACATCAGTAGTCAATGCATTGCAAAGGAATCCTACTTATTTTCTGAAGCGGCGATAATTAGCGGATATCATATAGCAGATAAGAACCATCTTTCCGCATAAAAGAGATGCAAACAAAAGGGAGATGCTTTTGTGAATCAAACAGGTTTATATGATATTATCAACTCGGTCAAGAACAAAGCACCAAACAAGGAACATTTCAGCAAAAGAGGGCTTGCATGCAATCACTAAACATCTTTCTCTAAAGGCTCTATTCCCTTTTTCTTTGGATGCCCTTTTTTCCAATTCCAATTCTTATTAGCAAAAGTCCACTCACTTTATCTAACTATGAATTTCCCAAATTTGCACAATTCAGTTTTCCGTTAAATCTCCAAAATTTCAACAAATTCAAAACTATTGGATCCTCAAATTCTCAATCATTCAATGTAACACTTCAAAATTCAAGGCTAAAAGTCACTTCATTTCGATCCAAACACAATCCAAGATCCAACAGATCCAAACTTTAAACAAAAATTGAAACCCTAACAACATCAACCCTGCAAAAATTTACAGAGCATAGCGAAAACAAAACATTCGTATCATTGAATTACCGACTAAGTTCCAAATGCGAACCCGATTCGAACCAGGACCCAGAATTCAAGCTCCGCCACCAGATCGGTGGAGGTACAGCTTGCCGAACACATGAAGAGCCGTAACGAAGCCGATGAAGCAGAGGCTCATGACGAGGACAACAGTCGGGGTGATCTTCAAGCCAGGAGCGTCGTCCGTGTAGAATCTCAGCATGTTGTTTCCGGCACCGGACCCGCCTCCGCCTCCGCCGATGCTTCCGGAGCTGGTGGAACCTCCAATACGACGACGACGCATTCCGGCCGTCGCGGCAGCCGAGCCCCTCGGAGCCATGACGCCGGGGCGCGAG